CCAAAAGGCTGAGCGTTTCGAGACATACCAGTCCGCAATAGGGAGTTTAGACATCCAAAAGGACTGACGCGTTTCGAGGACTTGCCTCTTCCTCTTCGAGGAGGCAAGTCCTCGAAATGCGTCAGCCTTTTGGATGTCTAAACTCCCTATTGCGGACTGTTACTCAGCGCGGTGTTGACCCAGCTGTTCTTTTATGATGTGCCTTGACTATATTGTCGTTTGTGAGTACAACACCTACTTTATTTTTTATTAAACATTTTTTATGGTAATGCACTAGGCCTGTGCGCCCTCTCTTTGTTCTTTCCCCATTCAGTATATTTGGATTCCCCCGGTCCATTTGAGGGCAGCAAGGTGTGCATGTTCCAGGACATTCTTAATGTGGTTGTAGCCTGCATCGAGGTCCATCCCCAAGCGCAGGAGCATTTGTGTTTGCTGGTTCTTAGTTAACATGTCCGCCTGGGGACCCAAAGGTTATTAACCGCACCTGCACTGCTCCTGTCCGGCCATTTATGTACATGGGCCGGACGGGAGCAGTGCAGGAGCAGCTGGCCGTTTATAAACGGCCTCCGCATTCCCTGCCCTGGAACACAGATCGCTGTACGGGATCTCTGTGCGAGGTCCCGATCATGTGATCACCGATTGGCCAATCAGTGATCACATGAATAGTAGTAAGCAAGATGTCACTTGCTGATATTTTTGCTTATTACTAGTGAAATCTGTGAATGATCACAGAGGTCACATGGTACAAAGCTATTCACAACAGCCTTGTACCATGTGACAAGCTGTGACCAATCACAGCTCTCATAGTATTTCTCAATGGATGCAAGAATGCAGCCAGAGAGAATGAGAAATGATTGCTTTTACAGCCTTTATGGGTGTAAAAGCAATCAGTGTAAAAAAAAAAAAAAATCTTCATCACCCCCCACAAGTATTAGTGTCACTATGGTGACACTGTACTGCTAGGGTGACAGTATGTTAAAAAATAAATAAATAAATAATAATATAAAAAAATAAAATAAAAATGTAAAAAAAAATGTTTGAAGAATTATAATTTTTGGTTATAAACTAATCTGGGTTATTTTTTTTTTACCAAAAAGATAGCTGAATACATTTTGGCCAAGATTTATTTGCAAAACTTTTTTTTCAAAATGTTTGGACTTTTTCATTTATATAGCAAAAAAATAAAACTCCCAGTGGTGAATAAATACCACCAAAATAAAGTTTTATCTGTCTCAAAAAAATGCTAAAAAATTCATATGGGTACAGTGTTGCATGACCGCGCAATTGTCATTCAAAATGTGATAGCACTGAAAGCTGAAAATTGGCCTGGACAGAAAGGGGAAAAAGTGTCCGGACTTGAAGTGGTTAAATAACCGGCCCAGGTGAGGATAGCGCTGGATCCTTGGACAGATGAATGTCTGTTTATTAAAAGTCTGCAGCTACAGTTTTTTTAGCTGCTGACTTTTAATTTTTGCACAAGGAACTAAAGCTCCTCTTTATAGTACCTCTAAAGACTCCTAAGTGACAATCTAAACAGGTTCCAAATCCAAGTACTATGTACAACCCTCTTAAATCCTACATGCAGCCAAAATCATATTTAGAAAAATCAGCACAAGGGACATAACTTAGTCAGTAGGATGTGTCCCCTGCTGATATCACTTCTGTTCCTAAACATCTTCCTCCATCCTGCTCCCCACTCCTGCTGCCAAAATCTTCCAGTGGGGGAGGGTTAATACAAATAAGGGTCTGTCACAGGCTGTCATCAAGAGCGTCTGGCAATAACTGCCCTTTCTGTCCAGATCCACCATTCATAGAAGCCGTGCTACAGCTTCTAAGAATGAAAAACGATCTAAGAGTGGAGGACAGGCAGATTATGGATAACTCCATTCATAATACCTGTAGTACAGCTTCTGTGAATGATGGATCTGGGCAGAAAAGGCAGGTATAGTCAGGCTCTCTTGATGACAGCCTTTGACAGCCCCTTGGTTGTAATAACCCCCGCTGAACCAGAAGTCTACAGGAGCAGGGGTTGGGAACAGGACGGACAAATATTTTCACTAACAGAAGAGCAATCAGCACAAGGGGCACATTCTGACATAGGTTATGTCCCTTGTGCTGATTTTTCTGTTTGTGGTTTTGGCTGCACTTAGCCTTTAGGCCTCATACAAAATGGATGTTTTGGCCATCTCTTTTTAGGTGCGCATTAAGGTGCGTCAAGCACTTGGGAGTCAATTAATTTCATTGGTCGTAATAATGACCATTTGAAGCTCAAGCACTCAAGGTGGTTAGTGTTCTGGGGGGGGGGGGTGTTAAAGGTATTTGGTTTAGCCATGGTTTTACCACCCCCAACAAATTAGGGCATGCAGCCATTAAGGCAAAAATGAAACAGCATGTAGCAGGAATTACCGCCGCCAAATGCAATCAAGTAAATGGAGCCGTGCTGCAAATGCAAGCAATGCAGATGGTTGTGTTACTGTGGGCCAGCATTTTGAGTTTTAAAACAGGAGGTGAGAAAGTGACATAAGTCACTGCCTGAAAAGCGATCCACCACAAGTTGCTTTTAAGGGTGGCAGCAGTAATAGCAGCACATGTGAAAAAGCCTTTAATAAACTCCAAGAAGTAGATTTCACAGTAATTACAAAAATACTGTTTTCTTTCTTGTTCATTAAGGGACACAGAAATCAGTTATTGTGAGACCACTGAGACATCCAAAAGCAGTCGAATAGGATGGTGGGCAAAAGTAACAAATAACTAACAGGCCCACATAACAAAACAGTAAAACAGGGGAGCAGCCTGCAGCATAAAGCGTTGCCTGAAGGACCTTACTCCTGAAGATGGCATCAGATGAGACCTGAACATCCACCTGGTAAGTCTTAGAAGACATGTGAACAGAAGACCAGGTTGCATTCTTGTGAATCTGGCAAACAGTTGCCTCATGCCCATGAATCACTCACAGATCTAACAGAGTGCACTTTGAGAGGAAAAGGTGTAATCTTGTTCTTAAGACCATATGCTTGAACACTTTGCCTAAGCCACAGAGAAATGATGGAGTGAGAAGCTAGTTCCCCTTTCCGGAAACCATCAGGAAAGACAAAAAGTAAGTCAGACTTTTTAATGGAAGCAGTGGATGAGAGGTAAACCCACAGAGCACAAACTACATCTGGGAAGTGAAAGGAAATTTCCTTCTGATGTACTGGAGCAGGAGGGAGAGACGGAGGAACAATGTCCTGGTTGAGGTGAAAGGCCAAAACCACCTTAGGAAAGAAGGCTCTAAGCCTCAATACTACCTTGTCCTTGTGTAGGGTCAAGTAGGGTTCTTACATTATAAACAAAATAGAGATAGTGAGCGCTCCTAAAAAAAAAAGCTGCTAAAACACCAAAAGGCACCAATAAAACCTTCAAAATATAGACCAGAAATAAAATAATGAGGTGTAGCGCTATGAATGATGGTATTATAGTATATAATGATAAGCCATAATAGGTATGCAATAATGTCCTCTAATAAAGTTCAAATACAGATGGATATGAGAACAGCTCCTTAAGATGGTAAAACGACAGCAGACAAGCTTGTGACACCGACCAATAGATAAAGTGCGCACTCACCGGAGGCGCATAAGGAAAGCGCATGTGATATAACCATCAAGGTATCTGTAGATGGGCAGGTCAATCCAGGTGAGCTTATCCCCATCAAGCTGCGGTGAGTTGTCTGTTGAATCCAGAGGTCCCCTTAAAAGGTAGGTATGGTGCTCAGCCTATATGCTCCTGTTCCTCTAGAGATGATGAGTCGCTGGGGTAACCTGCAGGCTTAATAGCTCCATATAGGAGCCAAAAAACAGGTACCCATAGTGTAGTAGGTTCAAAGCTTTATTCACATAAAGTGCAGTATGCAGAGTGTAATGACATCCAGTAATGTATCACACTGACCAGAGTTAAGATGGGCTTCCTCCAGGCTCCGGCGGCAGTGTCACGTACTGTCTGGTTCCTCCTGAGGCCTTTCGCGCAATGGCACTTCATCAGAGGCTTATCATTATATACTATAATACCATCATTCATAGCGCTACACCTCATTATATTATTGCTGGTCTATTTTGAAGGGTTCTTACATAACAAGGCTGCTAGCTCAGATACACGGCTCGAAAAGGCAATGCAAACAAAGAAAGCAACATTGTGTGTGAGAATGCAAAGGGGAATATCTTTAAGGGGATCAAAAGGATGTTTAGCATGCCTAAACAAAGATGGCTCCATCCTTTGGAGAAAAAAAAAGCAGATTAAAAGAGAAGGTCAGGGTTACAAAAAAAACAAACATTTATACTCAGCTAAGTAGATTCAGTATTGATCCAATGCTGTGTCTGTCTCGCCCCGTCTCTACACGTCTCTGAGTGTAGAAAGACTGTTGATTGCCGGTTCTCAGTCTTCAGTAAGCAGAAAGCTGGTGACTGTCCTTACCCGCTCTCTGCTCTGCCCCTCCCGCTCTCACTGGAGTGCTGGGCTGTGGAGGGGGCAGGAGCAGCTGGATCAGGCTCTCAGCAGCTTGCTGAGAGGCTGAGCCAGCTGCTGATCCAGACATCTCGGTGGATCCCGATATTAAAGTCAGGATCTCTCTAGAGTCTGGACGAGTTATGTCAGCTGACAGTAGGCTTTAGCTGAATATGGGTCACAGTGCAGAACGAAGTGCACTCCCATGATCCCCAGGAGAAATAGAGCCACATGGGCTTTGTAGTCTGGCTGGTTGTACTGAAGTCGAGTACAACCAGCCTGATTTTTTGTATGCAATTACTGCCGATGGCTATAGCCACTAGCCATAGTCGTGTTCTGCTAGCATGGAAGTTTCCCCGTTACCAAAACACAAAAGCGCTGCAGGAGGGATTATCCCATCAACATTGACTATGTGGTTGCAGGAAAGAAAAAATCATCATCTATGGCCTGCCAATAGACACAACATAGTTCAGCCTCTTTCCAAACTGCATATTTAACAGGCTCAAAACATATAGCAGCTTTACCTTATTTTCCTTCTGAACAGAATTTTCTTTAGTCAAGCTTTGCACTGTATGATGAGATGTTTCAATTATAGGTTCATCATTTTCTAAAAATGGCAGGAAAAGAAATATATTAACAATGGAAAACTTTACTAGACTGAGAAACAAATCACAGTTTATATGTTTCCCTTTAAAGTATGTCTAAACCCAACAACAAATGAAAATATATATATATATATATGTGTATACACACACCTACCAGTCCTTAGATGTGGAGGCTGCCTTAGTTTTTTCTCTTTTCCCTTTATTTTTACCTGGTGATCCTGCCAGTAACATCTTTTCTGCCCTGGGGGGCCACTACTTACTCCCTGTAGTGTATGTATGAAGGAGCAGTGTTGTCGCCATAGCCTGCACTCTTGATTTGGACCACAGAGACACCTCTTCCTCTCCTCAATCAACATAGGGGAAGGTGTTCTTAAAGTGGAACTTTAGTTAGAATATTAAGTCCTGCTAGATCACTTCAGGCTGGCCCCTTTTGCAGGTATATCTATGTAAAACATTAAAAATAAATCCCTCTACTGTTTAAAATCCAGTAATACACTGTCTCACCCTGCTCTACACATGCTCAGTTGCTCTCTATCTTTGGCACAGTGACCAAAATGTAGAGGTTGATCTGTAGACAGATTTACTGCTGCTCAGGGGCTCTGGGCTTCAGCAAAATGGCAGCCTCCAGCAAAAAGAAATAGGAGCAAAGCTGGAGGCAATTTGCAGGACACACTTTTGGTAGCATAATTATTAATGTGGAATGTATATTTTTTGCTAAAGAACATTTTTTTGATCAAGTTGTTATGGGTAAAGTTCCACTTTAAGTTTAAATTATTTATTTCAGGTACTTATATAGTGCCGTCAATTTACGCAGCGCTTTACATACATTTATTGTACATTCACCTCAATCCTTAACCCTCAAGGGGCATACAATCTAAAGTCCCTAGCTCACATTCATACATACACATACTAGGGACAATTTAGACAGGAGCCAATTAACCTACCAGCATGTCTTTGGAGTGTGGGAGGAAACCAGAGTACCTGTAGGAAACCCACGCAGTCACAGGGAGAACATGCAAACTCCAGGCAGGTGGTGCCGTGGCTGGGATTCAAACCAATGACCCTAGTACTGCCAGGTGGAAGTGCTAACCATTTAGCCACTGTGCTGCCCATTTAACTGAGAGTGCTGATAACATTGTATGAGTTTTCAGTTCTGTGCACAGAAAGTTACAATGACACTAGATTTCTGGCAGAATCAACAGGTATTACAAAATATACTTAAAATAAAAAAAGAAACCTAATGCGGCAACCAAATCTAAAGGTTGGTAAGCTACAATATTACATTTATTTCCTTAGGTTAAGATATACTTAAAAATAGATTTTATGATAACAAGTGAATATCACTGTGATATTGTGAAACTGTTGCAATCAAAGGAGCTGTGACTGATGCAGTAAAGCCCTTGAGGCCTATGACTACATTTTTTAAATACTGAAAGAAAGTTGGGGAATCTGATCTTTGGAGTCCTAGCCAGGTATCCTACAGTACATGCTTTTCAGAAATGAGATTTGTCAGGACTTACTTTCTTAAGCCTGAGTTCACATATGTGTGGGCCGGTTTTGACAACGCGATTTCAGCCCCGTCCAGTGTGGCTTTGTTCAGCGGTTCAGGTGGAAATCGCACCTGAACCAGGCTGAAAATCACACCTTTTTTTTAACTCACACATATGTGAACCAGCTCCATGGAAAAGGCTGCAGGCTCCCATGTTATGCGAATCAGATTTTATCCAAAGCACATCCAATTCGCATATATGTGAACCGGGTCTATGACTTCCACAGACATAATGGCAGAGGAAGATGCAACCACTAGATTGTTCTTAAAAGCTGAACTCTGGGTATTTTTATTTGTTTGGGGGAATCGAAAGGGCACAGTACTTACTTTATTCCTTGCCACCTGACACTCTATTCCATATTCCAATGCTCTTGGGATGTGGATGGGCCCTCGTCATTCCAAGGTACAATGCTGCTGGTCCTTCATTTTACATGATGACTGACAGGTGCGACCAGTTGAACACTAGAGAAGAGCAGCTTCGAGGAACTGATCATACACAACGGAAACTTATGGGAGTGAGGAAGAAGGTGAGTATACCTCCTTATTCCTGATCCCCCTACATAAAACAAGCATTTGACCTTTACGTGTATGGGAAAGGTCTACTAGGTGAAATTTTAGAGATACCTGGAGTTCAGCTTTAAAAAGAACCAGTGTGTCAGCCAAACATACATAGTTATTCACAGTACAGGCAACTCTAAGGCTAGGCTATTCGGAAAAGAAAATGAACAAAATTAGGGAGGGGGAGTGCTAGGCTGCCAAGAACACAGCCTAGATACGGCCATCTCCCAGTCCGGTTACCTGGACTGTGCTACGCCCTTTCATGTTCCTCTAATGTAAACATAAAACAGGCCAAATTTCGATCCATGTATAGCCGTTTCTGTTCATGAAAAATTGATCTATCAATCAACTTCTCCTGAATGGGACTGCTGGGAAAATTTCAGTTTGATCAGCACTGCAGCCAGAAGGCTGCGGTGCTGATCAGTGTATTCTGACAGCAGGGTGGCGGGGGAGTCTCCCTGCTGTCAGAATACAATGACACAGTGGGGAAGATTCCCACATCCACACCAAACGTGTGGATGGGGGAATCAGTTCAGTACATCGGACAGTTTTTTCATTCAGCCAGCCGAACGAAAACACTGACCCATGTACGGGCAGCTTAAGCAAAACCAACTGAAGCCCAACTTTAGAGTCTTTGTTGTGATCTTTGAGGAAATAACTTCATAATAAAAGCAGCTAGAGAGGTCAGGGATAACTTGTGTTTAAGGAGCTTTGCTATGTGTCAAAATGTGTAAATAGTTTAAAGTGGTTGTAAACCATTACATATGCCCAGTGAAGGGACTAGCCTCAGATAAGACACAGATATGAAACAAATCATCCTACATACGTTGTACCTGTTTATCTGCAGTCTTCTCTTTTCTACATCTGTTCAAAGTTCAGATTTTATAAAGCTTGCCTGAGATGTCATAAAAAAGAGAATAGGGAGCTCTGAGAGCTGATTGGAAAGAAGGGACATGCCTCCCCTTCACACAGCACACAGGACAGAGCTGAGGATGTCATTCTGCTGGAGGTCCCTCCCTGTCACCTTTTTTTCTCTTGATGTCAGGAAAACCTGTCAGAAGTGATTGATGCTGATAGCAGAGAAATGAAGCAGCAGACAGAAATTATGCTTAGTGTTCTTAAAGCAGTAAAAAAAGTCTTGTTTGTTTATACCTACAGGTAAGTCTATAATAAGGTTTATCTATAGGTACAGTAAGAATCTCCTAAACATGAACCATTTAGGAGATATTTACTTCAGTAGCACCGGTGACATCACTGGCGCATGCGTACTGAGCGACCAGAGGATGGCATGCCGTCTATAGAGAGAGATGTGCAATGACTGGTAGGCTTTGTTTTATGGTAAGTTTTTCATAATGTGCTTGTATGTAATAACTTAAAGTGTTACTAAACGCAGGACCTGCATTCACTCTATCTGGTCTCCCAGGACCCTGCATTCACTCTATCTGGTCTCCCACAGAACACACTACATGGAAATGCAATTATTTTAGTAAATATAAACTGCGAAATACCTTTTCTCATCAGCAGTTAGAGCAGTCTTGTGACTTCTATCAGTGTCCAGCAGAGCACATGTTAAAGCTTGTAGAAGGAGTTTTCTTTCTGCTCTAGAAGCATGCAAAACCCCTGACCTCTGTCTGGACATTGCTGATTGGCCGTGTGGTGATCACATGCACTCTCTCAAGCTAAAAAAACACCCTCTCTAGTAATACACACCAAACTGAGTATGTGCAGAGTGTCTCCACACGATGTCTTATTAGGAGATAGAGGAAGACATTGGAAGAAGGGGAGGATCAGAGAAGTTAGGATCAAACAGCATTTTTACACAATGCAGAGGATTAACCCCTTAGGTTCCACAGTGAGTATAACAAGCATGCTTTACTGCATACACAGACTTATTTTACTGTTGTGGGTTTAGTAACACTATACCTTGCAAGGTGAAGAATTTTTTTGTGGTTTACCACCGCTTTAATTGAGACAAGGACACAAATTTCTTCATATTTGTTATGTTTTGTTCATATTTCATGTCTGAGGTTTACAACCACTTTAATGTCTATAATCGGGCACAAATGCATAGTCTGGGCACAGAGAGATATCCTCACCATCCGACACATCTGCTACCTCTCATCACTGGGTCAATGACCAAACTACAGGGGTTAGGCAAAAAAATGGAAATACTACATGATTTGCAGGTGTGAAAGTGACAAAATATTTGAAAGCCCATGAAGACTGAGAGATTGAGCTCTGCAGTCACTTTTGCAGCAGTTGTTTTCTTATTTTAGGACAGAATCCTATGCAATGTCCTTTTGGCTCTTTAAGTCAGTTGACCATGTTGACCGTGCTTATGCTTATCAGACGACATTCTCCTGGACAAACAAACACTTTACTCCTGCACTAGGAAAGGACTCAGTAGACCCAATAGGAATGTTCTGGAATTTTCTGGAATATGCACTGCTTGCTGCCCTCAACAGACCGGGGTGGTCCAAATACACTGGATACAAATGGAGAAGCAGAAAAAGGGCAAAGAGGTTGTGTCCTCGAAACGCGTTAGAAGTTGGTCATCCAGGGTTCCATCGTATGGACTCAGATGTTGTTTGGATCATGCATCTTCTTCAGTTTGACATGCCTGTGTTAATATGTCCATTGTGAGTATGATACCTATTTTGTTTCTTCAATAAATTATTTTAAACGATAATGCACTAGGTCGGTGTGCCCTTTTTCTGCTTTTCCATTTGACATTCTCCTGGAAACTGTATATGCCGTCATAACCTTTGATACTGTACCTTGCAACACGGCAAATAAATTAACAACTTCGGTCACAGAGGCACCAGCTAAGCTGCACCAGCAATGTGCCCTCTCTGAACCTCCGTAAGCTCTGACATGATTCTGTATTACTAGCAGCGCACGCAGTGAATGACGGAAGTGAGGCTTCCCACCTGTTAGCTAGGTGTCTCATCACACAGCAGAAGCATAGGAATGTTACATCACTTCTGCTTTCAATGCAAAACATGCTGTCACTTTCACACATGTAGTGTTTCCATTTTTTTGGCCAACCCCTGTATAATTTTTAACTGCAGATGAGAAAGCCAAGGTGACTGATCTGATTATGCTGTCTTGCAGAGGTGCCTGGATCACAAGGCTAGCTGAAGAAAATACAACATTTCTTTAGCAGGTAACGCAGGTCACACCAACGTATTTTATGAGTGTTCAGGTTGTTTGCCCGTGTTCAACTTTGAAGGAAAAAGCACTGCACCACTTTGTATGCATATATTACCGCCATCCACGACCTCTTTGTTTCCCGTTCCCTCAACCTCCTAGCGATCACGGAAACCTGGATCCAGCCCACTGACTCTACCTCCCCTGCTGCACTCTCCTATGGAGGTCTCACCTGGACCCACTCACCCAGGCCTAACGGTCGTAAAGGTGGTGGGGTTGGTCTGCTCCTGTCACCGCAGAGCACCTTCCGAGTCCTCCCAAACCCCCCCTCCCTATCCTTCTCCTCCTTCGAGGCCCACTGCGTCCGACTATTCTCCCCAACCCCCATGAAGATTGCTGTGATATACCGGCCTCCTGGATCCATACCCCACTTCCTGGATGACTTCTCCTCCTGGCTACCCTTCTTCCTCTCCTCTGAGCTACCCACCATCATCCTTGGGGATTTCAACATCCCTGTCAACCTCGACAACCCAGACACAGCCCGTCTCCTCCACTTAACCTCCTCCTTTACACTTGCACAGTGCATACAATCCACCACCCACTCCAACGGTAATATCCTTGATCTTGTCTTCTCCAACCACTGCGCTCCCCACAACCTCACTAACACCCCCTTCCCTCTCTCTGACCACAACCTGATTACCTTCTCTATCTCCTCGTCCTCCAATGCCTACCCCTCCAAATGTCACACTACTACCAGCCGTAACCTCCGCAACCTTAACCCTGCCCCCCTCCACTCTGCAGCTGATCATCTCTATGACAGCATCCTCCCCCTGTTCTGCCCCGACTTGCCTACAACAACGCGCTCTCAACAGCCCTTGACTCACTAGCGCCTTTAACCACACGCAACATCAGACCCCGACCGCTCCAGCCCTGGCAGACTGATCACACCAAAACCCTCAAACAACACAGTCGTGCCCTGGAGCGACTATGGCGCAAAACCAAATCCCAACAAGCCTTCACCCGTTACAAATCTTCCTTCCACACCTACACCTCCTCCCTCCGTGCTGCCAAACAAGCCTACTTCTTGACCCTCATCAAGGCCCTCTCCTCCAATCCTCGCCGACTCTTCTCCACCTTCAACTCTCTACTCTCTCCACCCCCACCTCCACCCAGCACCTCACTCACTGCCCTTGAGATTGCCAATCACTTCAAAAACAAGATTGACACAATTCGCAAGGACATTGCCGCAACTCACACGCCCCCTCTCAACCCGTCCCCTCTCACACAGCTACCCCCTTATCCCCCCTCGACATAACCCGCAGGGACTTCGTCGCTGCTCAAACTCTCTCCAACCCCCTTCACCCTCACTCAGCTACCCCCTCATCACCCCTCTCCCACGGCCCCACCACTGCTCTGACCTCCTCTTCCACCCCACCCTACATTCCTCATACTGAAGCTCCCCCAACACTCCGCACCTTTGACCTTACTACCATCGAGGAAGTCTCCAAGATCCTCTCTGATGCCCGCCTCACCACCTGCCCCCTCGACCCTATCCCCTCACAACTCCTACGACCTCCTTCCCCCTCCATCCTACGCTCCCTCACCCACATCTTCAATCTCTCCCTCTCCTCCGGCACTTTCCCCTCCCCTCTGAAACATGCACACATCACCCCCATACTTAAAAAGCCCTCCCTGGACCCTAATGACCCGAACAACCTCAGACCCATCTCCCTGCTCCCATTTACATCTAAACTCCTCGAGCGCCTAGTCTACACCCGCCTATGCTCTCACCTCAACGACAACAACCTCCTCGATCCCCTACAGTCCGGCTTCCGTCCACTACACTCCACCGAAACTGCCTTATTCAAACTCTCCAACGACCTGCTAACCGCCAAAGCTAATGGCCACTATTCAGTGCTCCTTCTCCTTGACCTCTCTGCGGCCTTCGACACAGTCGACCACCCCCTCCTCCTCAAAAAACTACACTCCCTCGGCCTCAGAGATTCTGCTCTCTCCTGGCTCTCATCCTACCTGTCACAACGCTCCTTCAGCGTTACCTATAATGCTACCACCTCCCCCTCACTCCCCCTCTCTGTTGGGGTCCCTCAAGGCTCTGTCCTTGGGCCCCTTCTCTTCTCCATCTATGCCTCCTCCCTTGGCCAACTCATACACTCTCATGGCTTCAACTACCACCTCTATGCCGACGACACACAAATCTATCTCTCAACCCCCCACCTACCCCCTTGGTCTCAGCCCGAATCACACACCTACTGAGCGACATATCAGACTGGATGTCACTCCACTTCCTTAAATTGAACCTCTCCAAAACCAAGTTTCTTGTCTTCCCCCCAGCTCGGACACCACCCCCCATTGACTTCTCCGTCACATCCAACAATGCTACCATCAAACCCGCCCTGCAGGCCAGAGTACTTGGTGTCATTCTGGACTCCAACCTATCCTTTCAACCCCAAGTCCAATCTTTAACAAACTCGTGCAGACTCCACCTCCGCAACATCACCAAACTCCGCACGTTCCTAACCCCAGAAACCACTAAACAACTCATCCACTCCCTCATCATATCACGACTCGACTACTGCAACTCCCTCCTCACTGGCCTGCCTCGCCGCTGGCTATCCCCGCTTCAGTCCATCCTGAATACGGCTGCCAGACTCATTCACCTTTCCAACCGCTCTGTATCCGCCACCCCCCTCTGCCAATCCCTCCACTGGCTTCCGATTGCGCAACGGATCAAATTCAAAATCCTAACGCTGACGTACAAAGCTGTCCACCATACTGCCCCGAACTACATCACCGACCTAATATCCAAGTACCCGCCCAGCACGCACACTCCGCTCCTCACAAGACCTCCTTCTCTCTAGTTCCCTGGTCTCCTCCTCCCATGCCCGCCTCCAGGACTTCTCCAGGGTGTCACCCATCCTCTGGAACTCCCTGCCCCAACCCATCAGATTATCACCTACTCTCCTCTCCTTTAGGCGCACCCTGAAAACCCATCTCTTCAGGGAAGCCTACCCCACCCTCTGCTAACTTGCCGACCTCCTCCACTCTTTCTACCACTCCATCCCCCACAGCTATCTCCTCCTGTGCCACCATCCCCTCCCTCCTAGATTGTAAGCTCGAAAGAGCAGGGCCCTCGATCCCCTCATGTTTTGCATTGTATTGGTATTGTTCTGTCACATGTTCTGTCCCCCTTTGTAATGTACAGCGCTGAGCGAACTATTGGCGCTTTATAAATACTGTATAATAATAATAATAATAATAAATAATGTAGTGTTTCCATTTTTTTGGCCAACCCCTGTATAATTTTTAACTGCAGAGGAGAAAGCCAAGGTGACTGATCTGATTATGCTGTCTTGCAGAGGTGCCTGGATCACAAGGCTAGCTGAAGAAAATGCTAAATTTCTTTAGCAGGTAACACAGGTCACACCAACGTATTTTAAGAGTGTACAGGTTGTTTGCCTGTGTTCAACTTTGAAGGAAAAAAAGCACTGGACTACTTTGTATGCATATATTATAATAGGTGAAAACTCACCTGTAATTGCAGGAATACTTTCAGCAGATTGTACCTCTGGGCCATTCGATTCAGCAGGAACATTATCAGTCGTTTGCTTTCAGAAAAGAAAGAAAACATATTTTGAAATCTTTGAAGTAAAACACCAGTTCTCTCCAGATTCACACCACAGTCAGTAACTAATTCAAAGATCTAAATTATGATCCTACCATCCACAGTTTTCTCAAGACAGAACTTCTCCTAGTACAGGCCAGCAATTGTGATGGCGACATGGGAAGCTAAAAAACTACTAACTAGGGGTGTCTCTCCTCAATGTGAGATAACAGAATTACACATATAGTATTTGGCAGGTAAAACATTTCAATGGATGTACGGTATGTCAACTGTTAGGATGTTAACCTTGGAATCTGTTGGATGCATTAGTTTTCTTTTTTTCCAGGCCAAGAACATTTTCAGTAAGTACAGAAAATTATTACTCATCTTGGCAGAAATGCAAGGTCCTTGGTATGTCATGTGAACTGAGCTGGTATAAAAATTAATGTTATCCTTCGTCTGTATTATGGCTTGTTTACACTTGAGGTTGGCAGCCCCCACTGCTTCCCCTTAACCCTTTGACACCGACGGCACACAAATATGCGGCCTCACAGAACTGGGCTTTTTTCCGTGGGGCCTCATATTTGCGTACCTGTCTTTGTGCTGGGAGCGCGCTGCTCGGTGCACTCCCAGCACAGAGACTGCAGTGTCACTGAGAGCCCCGGGTCCCGTTCTAACAATCGGGACACGGGACTCCTGATTCCGGGTCATGTGATCTCTGTGATAGCCTCTGATTGGCTATCGCAGTGATCAGTCACTGTGCAGTCCAGCCCCCTTGTTTTTTTCTCTCTATGAATGGAGAGGAGAGATACATTGTATCTCTCTAACTCCTGACATAGAGAGATAAAAAAAATGTTTGTAAAAAAAAGAAAGAAAAAAAAAAAGAAGATAAATAAATATTAGAAAAGAAAAAATAAAGCAAAATACCTAGATCAAGGTTTGATCTAGTTAAGTACCAGGGTTAGTGTTTGGGTCAAGGTCAGGTCCAAAGGTCAGGATTTTAAAAAAATGGTATCAGTGTCAGTTAGCGTTAATGTCAGTGTCAGTGTGTTTTAGGTAAAAAAAAAAGACAAAAACAAAATGCGCACTATTGATTCTGGGCTGTACTATGGGTACAAACAACAAATAACATACACATATATGGTATCGCTGCGATCGTCAAGAGCTGGAGAATTTATTTTGGGTTGTTCTGTGGAGGTAGGTTATGGTCGTAACAAGAAACACACAGCAAAATAAAAAAAATGATTTTTTTTTTACTATTTTGGGCCAGTTTTCCTTTGATAATAAAAAAAAAATTAGGAGATATCCATTACTATTTACCACCAATTTGTCCTGAAAAAAACGTGGTATAATCCCCCTGGATGTACAAAGTAGTTGTGATGATGATATGTACGGTTTTACTAACACATGTCAACATTGCAGAATTGTGCTTAGGCATTTAGATTTGTTTTACCCTTAGGCATGAAGGGGTTTAAGCTGCAAAGGCAGCCATGATGCTTTGCAGCAGGAATTAAATCCCCCCTCGCATTCGATAGGCACTATCACCAGGTAAGCACGACCCATTCACATAAGCGTGGTTGTGGTAATTAGAGGGTCGAAGCAAGCGATGAGGAAGCAACCTTTCTTATCGCTTGTTTTGACTCTCTGAAAACTCATCCCAATGTGAATTGCTTTTTTAGAGAAACTGATCTCTTTTCAGAGGAGCGGCAGACCTTGCTGCATGTATAAACAAGCTCCTAATCTGGTTTCAGGCTTTGCTGTGAATACAATCATTATGCAAAGTTCAACCAGGTTTAGTACCTTATTTTCCTGAGGTTCCTCTTGATCTATAGCAGCAGATGTAATGACCTCTTGCTCCATCTCATCGTTTTCATAGGCTTGTAAGGCTTCTTTCACTAAGGTATCCACACACAGCACCTGAATGCTGAGAGCTAAGTATAATAATAAAAAAAGCTTTAAATAGAGTCCATGGGGTACACAAGTCTACAATGAAGAACAAGTAATTTCACAAGACTAAAAAACAACTACAATATGTAAATCTTAAAGCTGAAATCTGGCCTAAACACAGATTGTATAAGGCCTCATGCACACTAGGCTCTTCGGAACATCCTTCTCATGATAGGAGAAAGCAGCATGAAAAACACACCCAAAAGCTGCATTTTTCAAATGCATTTAGGTGCATTTAGACATGTTCAGATGCATCATGTGTTTGAGCATTCAATCAGTTCATTGACCAGAATATTAATTTAGTCTGACCAGTGAAATGAATGACTACTCAAATACTAAATGCACGGTTAGGCGCATTTAGACGTGTTTCCATGTGTTTAGGCACATCAGGTGTTTTTTTTTTACCCAAAAAGCTCCTCTTCTGAATGCGAGTTTGGTGTGATTGGATTTTTTCTGCCCCTAAACACCACAGCCTTTAAACGCCTCCATATCCACATAGGCTGATAGAATGGCATTTAGGAGCAGCAAAAAAAAAAGTAAAATGCCTGTGAAACATCTGAAATGCGCATGAGGCCATATATATATATATATATATACTATATATATATAAATATATATATATATACACACACATATATACACAGTTGTGTTCAAAATAATAGCAGTCACACATCACTAACCTGATCAATCACTGTTTTTGGTAGAAGTGATATTTCTACATGGCAAATAATTTACTAGCAGGTGTAGTAGAGTAATAGAAATCCAACAGACCCAACAGTCATGACATGCATGCTGCTGATTCTGTGTAATTGAATCACTAATTGAAAGGGGCATGTTCAAAATAATAGCAGTGTTGAGTTCTATTAGTGAGGTCATTCATTCTTTGAAAAACAGGTGGAAATTATTGCCCTTATTTAAGAAAGGAAGGCAGCAAATGTTGTACATGCTGGATACAGTGCATTTCTCTCTGAAATTCTGAGGAAAATGGGTCGTTCCAGACATTGTTCAGAAGAACAGCGTACCTTGATTAAAAAGTTGATTGGAGAGGGGAAAACATATAAAGAAGTGCAGAAAATGATAGGCTGCTCAGCTAAAATGATCGCAAATGCTTTAAAATGGCAACCAAAACCTGAAAGACGTGGAAGAAAGCGAAAAACTACCATTCAAATGGATAGAAGAATAGCCAAAATGGCAAGGACTCAGCCAACAATCAGCTCCAGGAAGATCAAAGAAAGTCTAAAGTTCCCTGTGGGTACTGTTACAATTAGAAGACGCCTATGTGAAGCCAAGCTATCTGCAAGAAGCCCCCGCAAAGTCCCACTGTTGGGAAAAAGACATGTGCTGAAGAGGTTACAATTTGCCAAAGAGCACATTGACTGGCCTAAAGAGAAATGGCGCAACATTTTGTGGACTGATGAAAGTAAGATTGTTCTTTTTGGGTCTAGTGGCCGGAGACAGTTTGTCAGACGACCCCCAAACACTGAATTCAAGCCACAGTACACTGTGAAGACAGTGAAGCATGGTTGCTCAAGCATCATGATATGGGGATGTTTCTCATACTACGGTGTTGGGCCTATTTATCACGTGCAACATCTTGGTTCCAGACCAACAAGATTGACGTTATGGAGTGGCCAGCCCAATCCCCGGATCTTAATCCAATAGAAAACTTGTGGGGTGACATCAAAAATGCAGTTTCTGAAGCAAAACCAAGAAATAGAGAAGAACTGTGGAATGTAGTCCAATCATCCTGGGCTGGAATACCTGTTCACAGGTGCCAGAAGTTGGTTGACTCCATGCAACACAGATGTACAGCAGTTCTCAGAACAGTGCTTATACAACGAAAAATATTAATTAAGTGATTCAAAGGAAAGCAAAATCTTCAAACATTTTTCAGTTTATATAGTGAATGTTTGAGTTTGTAAAGAAGAATACAAACACTGCTATATTTTTGAACAGTCTAATATTCACTTTTCTTCAAATTTTTTAGAGGAACAACACAAATTTGATATATTTTTCTTCATGTTTTGATTTGGAATAGAATGTGTCGTGTTCCCAATGCATTTGTGTGTATGGAAATAAAAGCTATTAGAAGGATTTTGAGCTTTATTCACTTTTTTCAACACACTGCTATTATTTTGAACACAACTGTGTATACATAAATATATATATCTATATATATATATGTCAGGTACTTATGCAACGCCATCAATTTAGCAGTGCTTACACACACACACACACACACACACACACATACATATATATTGCATTCACATCTGTCCCTAACCCTCAAGGGGTGTACAGTCTAAGGTCCCTAACTCACATTCATTCTTGGTGTCCTTTGCTATTTCTGTTGCAGTACTCCAGCATGAAACAGCTCAAGCTCTTTTCTTCTGTGCAGGAGTGTCCTCTGTATTAAACTGGTCTTCTATCCACCACTCTGCAGTTTTCAGGATCAGCTTGTAGAGGGAGGACCTGAGTCCCCCAGAGCTCTACTCTTTTGCACAGGCTATGTGCAGCCCAGTGATGATGTCACCACCGCTGTTACAAGCTAATATGTATGTGGTGCATTCCAAATTACTTTATACCTTTTGTGGCAGTGATGAACACAGTGCCCGATGTCTGCCCTTCTCACCAACTTGTAACAAAGGACTGGCCAATCCAACATGGCGCTGTTACTTACGTAACAATGACACTCTCAGCTGCACCCTGCACAAAGGTTTTCCACCTTTAATAATGAAAAGTTCAAAATAGTGCAAATAAAATCTTTACAGAAAAAGGGTGTTACACAGAAACAAAAAGGAGCAGCAACACCAAAACAAAGAGGTGAAACAGGTAAATAGTTGCCAACTCTTTTTTTAGCAGAGTCCATTCGATCAAGCAAAAAAAAGTACAATGGCTCCCTTAAGTCCAGTTAGGTGTGCCTTGGTTTGATGTTAAAACAAGAGCTGTCAAAGGGTCCTGGCATTCCCCTTATCTGTGGTATCAAAAAGGTGTTGACAGAGGCCATCCGACCAATCATCTGGTGTAAGGGGGTGGTTTCTGGGAGGTCACCACGTGTATGACCAAGTCCCAACTACGGTTTTCTGTAAGTATTCATATTTCTGAATACCTACCTAACATGCAGATTATTGTCCAGCATGAAATAACCTTCGCAATGGATATAAATATGACAGGTCTCTGATAACTATTTCTCTATTTCTCATAGGAGGGGTGTGGAGGCGTGTGTGTTTATTAAAAGTCAGCAGCTACAGTTTTTGTATCTGCTGACTTTTAAAAAAACACAAAACTGACTGGAACTTCCCTTTAAGGTATTTATGACCCAATGTCTGTTTAACTTTCTAGTCACTGAATCAGCCAAGTCAGACACTTTTATGGGCCCTGTGAAGTTTATTGGGGGTTAGATCCTGCTAGTCCTTTTAACAGACTGATAAGGGTTGTCTGGCAGCAGCTAAGAGTTTGTGGGTTGTATGAGCTGAAAGGAGAAGGGAATGTCACTGTGCTATGCCTTATTATGACAAAATGGCATAGGTGAATTGTGACATGAACAAATGGCTGCTACCAGGGGCGGACTGACAACTCATGGGGCCCCCTGAGCAATAGGGGATCATGGGGCCCCTGTGTCCTTGCCCAAACTCAAAAAAGCCTATGAAAAAGGTACCAGGGGCATCTCATGGGGCCCCTACTGACCCCGGGCCGAAGGGCAGTGCCCAAGTTTCCAAATGGTCAGTCCGCCCCTGGCTGCTACTCACACAGCTATTTGGGTGCCCAGTATGCACAACCATTACAGTGGCTATTGACTCAAACTAGGCATGTCGTCAAAAAATGCATAAGCAGAGGTTACCCTCAGTGAAACACATATTGACTAGCAGTCAGTTCATAGATTAGCAGCTGAAATTGTCAGCAAATTTTTACTTTTTTCTTGTAAAAGTCAGAATTTCACTAGACCCCTCCTACTTATTGAACCCCTTAATCCATCAGGGAGATCACCTATCACTTGCCGCCTGGTCACAGTAGATTTAATGTGACCGGGTGGCAATGTAAAAAAGGTTGCGTGCCTGCTTCCGGGTTTGGTGCGTGCGCACCCCCTGCTGCTGTCAGCCAATGATTTAAAGTTGACACCTGCTGATCGGCTGTGTCCAATCACAGCACAAAGTCCTGTGTCTACAAACACACAAGGGTTTGTACACAGAGCACCAATCTGGCTGTTTTCTCTTCCTACAAAGCATGGGAAAAAAAAAAAGTCAGATTAATTAGCAAAAGCAGCATATACAGTATTATACACATTACACTTGTTAGACACATATTTAATCCCTTGATTGCCCTAGAAGTTAATCCCTTCCCAGACAGTGTGATTGGTACAGTGACAGTGTACAGTATTATATCTGATCACTGTATTATGGTCCCTATACACTAGACAAAAAAAATTGTTCAAAAATCTGTCATTTGGACCATTCATTCATTTTTTGTCCAGTTAATAGACACAAATAGAAAATCGTTTTTTTGACTTTTCAGAGCCAAAAAAATTAAATGGTACAGGTTCAAAAACTTAAGCCAAATGAACAATAAATTGAAAGGTTAATGTGTTTTCTCCCCCTTTAAAAATCAAACTGTTCATACTGCACATATGTGACAAAACGAACAAAAACTGATTCATTTATATCTATTGAATGATTTACCATTCAAAATTCAGTCATGATGGCATTATCGTTTGCTCTTACAACTGAGTATTCGAAAATGAGTTTGAACGATTTTTTGGCTAGTGATGGTTAGCATTGGTGTCACTATTGATGCCAGCATCAGTTAGTGTACCTCCCAGCAAGGGTCTGTTAGAGCTAGATTGTCCGCCACACTATCACAGTCTCACTATAAGTCCCTGATCACCTCCATTACCAGTATAGTTGCATAAATTCCAGTATACTGTATATACCATAGTTTTAAAACGCTATAACTTTTGCACAAACCAAATAGTATACATGTAATGTTTTCTTTTCTTTACCAAAAACATGTATTAAAATACACTTTAGCCTAAATTTACGAAGAAATATGATTTTTGATTGTTTATATTTATACATATTTTTCAAAATGTTTGGTCTTTTTTTTTATTTATATAATACAAAATAAAAAAACCCAATGGTGATCAAATGCCACCAATAGAAAGCAATTTGTGTGAAAAAAATAATATAAAGGTCAGGATTTGCATACAACTAGATAAATGATGACCTATTTAACAAAAACAATAAAACAAAAAGAAAGTAGGAAAAAAAATTGAAGAGGGGGAAATAGAAAGCAGGGTTAAGGTAAGGAGACATCACTGTAGTAAGACATTGGAAAGTAAAAAGACATGTATTCACAGGTGCCTGCCCCTCTTAGACCTCTTGGGCTTATTCTCATAGTAAAGCCTATAGTAAAATAACCAGAAACTAAAGATTAATTGCTGCATCTGTAATGTTTCATCCTATGCCTAGCTTGTAGCTTGGTAGGTTACTCTGTCATACACAGAGGAATGTTTTCTGTTAAAGCAGAACTTTACTCACAGCAATTTATAAAAAATAATGTTCTCTAGCAGGGAATTCTTGCTGAAGGCTGCCATTTTGTTGAAGCCCACAACCCTGAACGGCAGTTAAAGAACTAAACCCTCCTATCCATTTCAGCCAATGAAGCTGCATCTGTTTGATCTGCAACTGCCATGCTGCTGCACATATGATCAGTTATAACACCGGTCATATGATGGTTTGACAGTTTGGTTGAGAATACAAGCAAATGTGACAGTTTGCATTCCTGGCATTACAGGAATGTAACTGTTTTTTGAAATTGTTAAATCAATTTATTTCAGCTTTAACCTTTAAACTGTCAGCAGATCGGCCTCTACAAATTCGACCAGTGCCTAAAAATGGAGAGCAACTGAGCATGAGCAGAGCAGGGTGAGACAGTGTATTACTGAATTTTATGTACAGTATAGGCACTTATATTTTTAATGTTTTACATAGCTATACCTGCAAAAGGGGCCAGCCTGAAGTAATCTAGCAGGACTTAATTTTCTGACTAACGTTCCAATTTAATTTGGCAGTAAACTAGAATAAAAAAAAAAGCAGGCCTGGTGAATAGAGCCAGAATGGCATGGCAAACTTATTCTTATTGTAGGCACTTAGGTGCCCTGTATAATTCAGAAAATACAGACCACATGGCCTTGGAGCAAACAGACCTTTCTCAGCACCTGGCGGTGTCAACTGTGACAATACCTGCCACTGATCTCAGCATAAAGTATACCTTAAAGTGTATCTAAACCCAAAACCAAAAATGTAATATACTGTAGATTACTAGTCCTTAGTGTGGTGACTTCATGTGTTTTCTTTTTTTTTCAAGCCTCTTTTGCTTTAGTTGTACCTAGTAATCCTGAAATTAATACTCTTCTTGTGGGATTTGTAGTCTCTCCATTCCCACATCTCTGTGACAAGTTTACGTGGTTGTGTGGAGCGGAGCCACTCACAGCAGAATCACATTCAAGATTTAACAGAATCTTGCAGGAAGAAGCACCCCACAATTCAGGTAAGTGGGGGGTGGTTTGAGGATGGTGGCTTAGTAACGGCACCATGTTACACCCCAGGGGCGGACTGACAACTCATGGGGCCCCCGGGCAATAGGGGATCATGGGGCCCGTGTCCTAGCCCACACCCAAAAATGCCTATGAAAAAGCCAATGAAAGGTACCAGGGGCATCTCATGGGGCCCCCTACTGACCCCGGGCCCTCGGGCAGTGCCCGAGTTTCCAAATGGTCAGTCCGCCTCTGTTACACCCTAAACATGGGCATAACATAAAACACAATGTGAAAGGTGAACGAGCCTTTAAATAAAACATGTACCACTTTGTGGGTAAGATTCCTAGCTTTGTCCGTAAGATCACCTGTCAGGAAAGACCTGCCCATAGTGCAGCTGAAGTTCCACGGCACACAAATATGCGCATGCGCAGAGTCCTTGCAAGCCGAACAGATGTGTAGACACTTGGACATAGGCGCGAACACGCGCATGCGCACTTGCGCATACAGGCACGCGCCTGTCACTGATGCTGGCGTCAAAGGGGCTATTTAAACTGGCTGCAGTAGTTGTCCCATTGCCGTATGGTCTTTTCCCTGCTTGTGTTCCCTGATTCCTGTGATTGTCTCCTGATACTGAACCTGCCCTGACCTCTGGCTTGTCTTGGATTATTTTTCTGTCGCCGCTCCTGTCTGATTGATCCTCTATTGCTGACCTGGCCTGTAACCTGACTACTCTTCCTCCTGCCGCTTTAAGCCTGATCTGCCTGACCGATACCGAACCCGGCTCGTCTGACCCTGCATCGTCAGCACACAGCTCTTGAGTATCCATCCATCCAGCACGCCTACATCAGAACCCTGCTCCCTGCCTACAACTCATCAGCTATTACTGGACTGATCACAGGCACTCATACCCCACTGTGCCACTCCGACCGCTGTCCTATCATCAGCGGTCCTTGAGCCGGAGTTGTACGGGAGGCCTGCCTCTTCACGTCAGGCTCACTATCCAGGTACCGTGACATCACCAGGCCATGAAAGGCACAAAAATCCTAAACACTTCTACTACAGAAGGAGATGATATTTTATTTACCGTTTGCTAAATGCTTGAGGCAGTTGGTCTTTCCAGAGAAGATCTTTCCAAGAACGCAGCCTTTGATTGGAAACGAAGGAAATGCAGGTGGTGGTGTGTTGGCTGGGGGTGGATTGACAATATCCAACAGTCTATGAACCACATGGCCTAGGATGTTGTTGTTGGGTGCAGGTGTCTTCACCTCAGAGTCATCAGATAAAATCCACTCTCCTGACATGGTCTGTGAAGAATCAGGGAAAATGTTATACCACATGGACCCACCAAGACAACGTGTACATGCAGTGCTTCTTAAATGTATACAGATATTAATCTGTGGGAGGAAAACAATAATAATCACAATAATAATCAAAATAATAATCACAGATGTGGTAGACTTATTTTTAGAGTAGAGCACACATCTTTTATTTAACCCCTTGCCCTCCAGAGAATTCCCCCCCCCCCCCCCCCCTTCCTGACCAGGCCATTTTTTTGCATTATGGCACTGCGTTACTTTAACTGACAATTGCACGGTCATGCATTATTATTATTATACAGCATGCTGTACAGATATGAAATTTATGCCCTTTTTTCCCACAAATAGAGCTTTATTTTGGTGGTATTTGGTCACCTCTGCGGTTTTTTATTTTTTGCGCTATAAACCAAAAAAGACCAACAATTTTGAAAAAAAAACAATATTTTTGACTTTTTGCTATAAAACATACTCTGTAAAAAAAATGTTAACAATAAAATTCCTTCATCAATTTAGGTTAAAATGTATTCTGCGACATGTCTTTGCTAAAAAAAAAATCCCAATACGTGTAAATTAATGATTTACGTGAAAGTTATAGTGTCTACAAATGGCGGTATATATACTGGAATTTTTATTTTTTTTACTAGTAATGACGGCGATCAGCAACCTATTGCGGGACTGCGCTGGGCCTTCTGACACTGGGTGGGAACTGACTGAATGCCACTGACATCCACAGTGACACTAATACAGTGATCAGTGCTAATAAGAAGCACTGTGACTGTACTAATGACACTGGGTAGGAAGGGATTAACATCTGGGGCGATCAAAGGGTTAACAGTGTGTTGTGTTTTACATAGTGTGCTGTGTGTGTTTTACTATGTAGACATGCTGCTTTGTATTGCTCTGCCTTGCAGAGCAATACAAAGCAGCATGTTCATGTTGACAGGGTAGAGATCTGTGTTGTTTACACACAGACTTCTCCCGTCAGCTCCACCGACCATCACCAAGTCCCGGTCGAGAATCAATGGCTGGGACCTGGTGATTGACATGCTGAGGAGCCAATAGTGGCACGGGTAGGGAGCGCACACACACGCCCCCTACCTGGAAATGCGAATCACCTATATATACATGATTTTGTACATCCCTGCTGCCCTGTAGCAGTACTTCTGCTTTAGGGTGGTCGGGAAGCTGTTAAAATACTTATGATGGCTGCACTAAGGAGGTTAAGTATATGTAAACCCAAAACTTTTTGATTTGAATAGCCACTTGCCGATCAGCGACGAACCTGTAAATCACTGGACTTCAAGTGGTTATACTGGGATGATGCCTGCAGGCATCATCGCAGTACCGTTTTTTATAGCTGATGGTCGGCTATCTTCTCAAAACAATATGAACGTCTAACTAGATACTGGATTGCTATTACAGGCAGTGTGAGGGAACGTCCCCTTCCACCACCTCCTGTGGCTTTAACAAGCTGTTCCATCCAACCGGAGTCTGCCGGCTGAATATAGAGACGAACAAAGAACGGAGCTGCTCCATTCGGCACTATGATATAGTGATGCCCTTACATGATGACCTTACATCACTTCTGGTTTAGCCAGATGTAAACGGCGCCACTTTTAAAAAATTAAAAGCATTTGATCACACCGATCTTGGTATAATCAAATGCTTTTAAGGGCAGAGGAGGAATTTGGGGTCTTATCGACCCCAGCTCTCACCATTAAAAATAACTGGCACATGCCTATTGCTTTCCTAAGGGATGATTACATTCCTTGTGACAGCAATAAGAGTGATATAAAAAAAAATGTAAGCAATGGTGTAAAAAAAAAAAAAAGTTGTGCCCCCGTCCTCCCACGCAAAGGCGAATGCATATGTCGGTCTTGCACACATGCAAGCAGTGATCGGCCCAGACTTGTGAGGTATCACCACGAACGTCAGGTCATGGGCAGTAATTCTAGCACCAGACCTCCCCTGTAAATCTAAAAGTGGTAACCAAAAATGGGTTATATATCGTGTTTTTTTGCATTAAAATGCAAAAAAAAGTATTTAAAAAAAAGTGAAAAAACGCTGCAAATACCGTGTGCAACACCCACCAAATTATTCTCTAGGGCCTCTGCTGTAAAAAAAAAAAATATAATGTTTGGGGATTCTAAAAAATTGTCTAGCAAAAAGTACTGATTGTTACATATAAATAAAAAGTGCCAGGAATGGCTAGTCTTCAAGTGGATAGAGCAGTGTTTCTCAACCTTTTTTTTCAGTCAAGACAACCTTTAAAATGATGCACAATCTTAAGGCACTCCAATCTAAAATGTAAAAAACTAAGCTTAAAGTCTTTCATAATGCAGCAGCATCTACACATGAAGGCAAACGTACATATTCACCAGCACACCATGGATCTCCATACGGTCCAAAAAGATTGCATCACAAAGAAAAGTGTAAAGTCTCGGAGCCGCGCAGGACCCCTTCGTCAGGCATATTATGATCACACACACATCACCTGCCTGACGAAGGGGCCCTGCGCGGCTCTGAAACGTTGCACTTTTCTTTGTGATGCAATCTTTTTGGAATAAAACCTTTTTTTGGACCATATCGAGATCCGTGGTGTGCTGGTGAATATGTATGTTTGCCTATGATGTTTCCAGTCTCAGCTGGTAGTTGCTACAGCACCCCCTATTTATTTATTTATTTCAGGTACTTATATAGCGCCCTCAATTTACGCAGCGCTTTACATATATATTGTATATTCACATCAGTCCCTAACCCTCAAGGGGCATACAATCTAAGGTCCCTAACTCACAGTCATACATATACTACGGCCAATTTAGACAGGAGCCAATTCACCTACCAGCATGTCTTTGGAGTGTGGGGGGAAACTGGAGTACCCGGAGGAAACCCATGCAGGCACAGGGGGAGCATGCAAACTCCAGGCAGATGGTGCCGTGGTTGGGATTCGAACCAATGACCCTAGTACTGCCAGGCGGAAGTGCTAACCATTTAGCCACTGTGCTGCCCCCTCTATTGATAAGAGATCAGAAATATTATTTTATTTTTGTGTTGTTTTGTTGAAATCAACAAGTGTGTCAAGCAGTCAGCTTGTCTGCTTAATTAAATCTTGGAGCCCCTGTGCCCCGCAGGGGGTGGGAGATAAGGTTGATCTCAGCGGGAAGCACAGACACTTGCCCTACATCTGGGAAAAGCACCAGGTAAAGACATATCAGCACCAGGTGTTTGGTTTGTTAGAATTGAAAGGACAATATAATGTCCCTATTCTGGGAGAAAACTCTCAGAATGTGCAGAGCTTGAGTCAGTATGGACAGAGCAGCTCATGGCTGCAGGTCTCGCTAGCAAATGCACTGAACTGTGCTTTGCTTTTTGCAAAACTAGGACTTGTAGTTCTAGACTATCTGTGTGGCTGTCCAGACACCGGGACTTTATTCTACCCTCTGTTTTGCCTGTGTGGTCTGGAAGCTGCGGCCAGGACACACAGCCCTCCAAAGACCCATGAAGAGTTGTTGAAGGACCTCTGCCCGGAACCTTTTGCCCTTGTGTGCTGGACTTAACCTCATTCTGATTAGCTTCTGATCATTAAACTACTCATGACGAAGCCCAAGCCCATACACATCAGTCTCAACCCCATTCAAAACTGATTTTAAATTTTAAACAGAATAGGGAAGGCTCTGTGTGAGGTTTCTCCAACTTCTCATCACCCTATTATATCAGCTGGCTGACTGGGCAGCTGTAATCATTTCTAGCAGAAAGTGGACAATCACTTCCACACATCTTCAGGCCTAAAATGTGAATCTTAACATGTGTGGGAAAAAAAAAATCTGTTAGTGAAAGGGTTAAATCACAGCAGCCAGGGCAAGCCAGAATAGGCCACAAGCAGAGCCTGAACCATAGCCCATGGACTATTGGTTATCCAGACTGTACAACTGGCTTGCACAGTAGCCGATGGAACTTGCCCTGCAGCCAGTGTGCGGCCTTAGAGGGCCTTCAGTACAGCAGCAGATTTTTTACAGAGAGATAAATCCACCTATCCCCTGACAGGGTGGACTGGATCACTTTTGTTAAATGAACTAGTCTTGGATTACTAATGAGTGAAAAAACCCCTGCTGTGATGCGACAGCCTAAAATATTAGGTGTCACCCATGCCTTACCCTCCCTTCCTACCAAAAAATTGATATCTGTTACAGGGGCGGACTGACACCTCATGGGGCCCCCAGGCAATAGGGGATCATGGGGCCCCTGTGTCCTTGCCCACACTCAAAAAAGCCTATGAAAAAGGTACCAGGGACATCTGATGGGGCCCCCTACTGACCCCGGGCCCCGAGTTTCCAAATGGTCAGTCCGCCCCTGATTATGATTACCTGCTCCTGCCACCTCCCCTGGCCCAATCCAGTGCCTTTTATTATAAGCATGGCTAAAAAAAAAAAAGGAAAATATGCTTGCTAAGAAAAAAAAATGTTTCAACAACTGGCTCTCAGCTGTCAAATGTCTAATGTTTGCTGCAGGGTAAATCCTGCATTGTGCCTTGAATTCAGGGTCTTATTCAGGGGCTCCAGCACTGTAAAGGTGCCACACAATGTTTCCTCAACTGGACCTCAGCTGTCAAATATCTAAAGGTGTACTTCAGGGTAAATTCTGCTTTGAGTCTTTAGCTTTTGGCCTACTCCAGAACTTCCAGTGATTTTTAATACCCTCTCTTGCTAATTTCAAAATAAAACCTGCCTCCTCTTTCCCCCTTTTATTTCTTACAGTAGCAAGCTGCTTACATACCAGCCACAGAACAATATTTATGGTTAGTGTCTCTCAGATAATACATTCTGATATCTATGTCAAGATAAAACCAGCCCCATCTTTCCCTCTCACATTGCAGCTATTACAAGGTACTTACATTATGTGCAGCCACTGTGCAATATTTGTTGCTATTTTTTCTCAAATAATACACGTTAATATCTATTTCAAGATAAAGCATGCCTTGTATGTACCTC